GGCTACTGAACTAAAGTCATTGATATTTGTTTTGTTCTGATAGACAAGCAATAAATTATTGTGACAAATTGGAATTTCATTGTTACTACAATCGTAAATCAGTTGGGAAGAGTTGAAAATGTTTAATTTATTATTTACTGTACCTTCAGGCGATTTGTACTCGTGTGTGATGTCCTCTCTGTCTCTATCTCCATTGGGATCGAAGATCCACGGTTTCTTCGTCAATATCATGCGTCCGATGCTGAAAGAAAAGAAATAATTCTCATAATCTGCGATCATCATGAATATATGCAAAACAGTAGATGCGTAATTAAAAATACAATTGCGCGTCAGGGAGTGAAAATGAGATGAGGGTTTTCCTTTAATTGGAGTTGCAGAATTTTAAACAGATACTGAATGCTCAAGTTGAATATTAATAACAAAACTGGATCTACATTGTAAACAGAGTACTTACGTAAAAATCTCAACGCCTTAAATAAACAAACAAATAAACGTATTAAAACTAGAGATCTTATAAATCTTTACACATACTGAATAAAATATAACAATATAATTAAAACGATATCATTGAAAAGATGTCATAAAACGATTTAACAAAAATGTTCTCTAGTTTCAGAGATCCATTATTTATTTATGGCAGCTGGATGTACTAGACAAGGAGATTCTCTCTGAAATACTGAGATGAAATGTTTTATTATAATAATGAGAATGAATAAGAATGGAAAAGACTTACTGTCGGGTGTTCGTGTCGATTTTTCTCCATCCAATGATGGAATTAGGATCTTCGAGCCAACGGATCTGATCAGCATTGACACTAGCGATCAAGAAAGGAATATCGTAGTTGCACCCAGTGACACCCTGACGAATAGCTTCAACAGAAGCTGGCCCACACCGATACAATCCCTCTGACTGTTCCTGGGGTGTTCCATCGATAGCCTGCCACCCTCCGTAACCCCTTGGTAAATCAGGACGAGACATCCATACGTCATTCCACACGTGATAATTCCAGATGGAATCAGCAGGTCCTCCGGTCTCGGGATCGACGTCCAGACGATTCATCTCGGCATCGAAGTGAACGTCCAGGGATAGGGAGCCATTCGCATCGTGGGCTGATACCACGTTGGTGACGACTCGAGAGGGCAATCCCAGGGCACGACAGATCGTCGTCACAACTCCAGCGAATACCCAGCACTGGCCGTATTTTACACGTTCTCCACCGGTCTCCAGGTACTGCTCCAGAATCGGAATGCTGCCGGTCCAGGCTGAAGGGGAAACCCCGTCGTCATAAGGCGGGGACCAATTACCCTCTAAAATTCCGTCGTACACGTATTCCCCGTCGACGACGTTGAAAGCGTTCGCCTGTGAAAAATATGTTTAAAGAAAGATAAGTATAAATATGTGGTTTTCATCGCCAGACTGCTGGATTTATCCCAGTAATTTAGCCCTCGATAATTAATCGTATATATATATATTAAATTTATATATTTATATATGTAATTGTATGCAATTCTTGTGGGGGCGAGCTGGGCAAAATGGAACACTTGGGGAAGATAATTTTTAACTGTTGCGAATTTAATTTATTCTTTTAATTATACTCGTATTTACTCAATTTTTTGGTTTTTCAATATTTTTTGCTTCTGATTGAAAAAATTTTTATGTGGGAAATCAACATTTTTTTATCAGTCAATTGTAATAAAATTCTGGAAAAACTGAAATGTTGAGTAAGGAATTCTTATGATTGATTATTGATTATAAAAAATTTTCCCCTCCTTATCTCCTCTAATTTTTTCATTTTTTATTTTATCCCATA